CAATCTAGAAATGTTGGGAAAGAAATGCACATATCCTCAAAAAGTGGCTTCCTACACCGTGAAAGAGTTTTCAAGGAAATGTGAGGCCAATCTTCTTGGTCTTTGGGAAACATGATTTTTTTTTTGTACAATTGGAACAGAGCACTTTCACCTGGACTGCAAACCAAGTGGAAACTCAAGTGAATATATTGGAAAGCCAGCTAGGCCTGACCTAGGATCTTCTTCTTAATTTCCAGGATTTCAGCAATGAGAGAGGAAATAAAAAGCACCACTTTTTCTTTTAAGAATGTGGCATTTATTTTGCCTTCATTACAAAAGCAATACATATTCAGGCACACAAAAAAAATGAAAAAAATATGTCACCTAGAAATACCCATTGTTAACTTGTACCTGCCTTTTGGCACATACCTGCGTAGGACTTCTGTTAAATGGAGACTTTCAGAGTACCACAGTTGGGTTTTTTCTAGGAATAGAACCATAGTGTACATGCAATTTTGTAGCCCTTATCCCACTTGGAAATAAATAAAGTTTGTTTTGGCTTTTATTGAAAACAATCAGCAAATGTCATGTGTATAAGTTCCTGAGTCTGTCTGTCTGTCTGTCTGTCTCTCTCTCTCTCTCTCTGGAACTAACTCTCTAAATACAAGTGGCCAATAGAATAACAGAGTGGTTTTGAGTCCTGTGTTTGAGACAAAAACCTTGGTCCCAGGGTTGAGAATGGATTTGACATACAACCAGACCACAGAGTAGTTCTGGAGTGTTTGTAAGGTAGTGGTAGAGTTGTGTGAGGGAGAAAATACATGGGTATACTCATATTCTTATTTAATCCCACCATGCATTGGGCCGTTAGTTAGCCTTAGCTGATGGAATCACATAAGTGAAACCACACTGCATGACCAGAGTTTACCTGGGAGATCACAGGGAAGAGATGACACCCTCTCTCCTAATTGTGGAGCCTCAGAGTTTTTAGATGCTTTCTGTCAGGACTGTGCTAGAACTAAAAGCAAATAGCCAAGATGATGGAGATTTCATGAGAGAAGAAATGTAAATACAGAGGAGCCTTCCCAACCTTGCATGTTATGTGTCTGAGTATAACGAGTAGAATACAAGGAGCACTTAAGATAGCCAGCCCTTATTAGGAAGAACAAAAATTTCCAAAAGAACTGTTTTTCTGTCAAGTTCCTCCAAAATTTATTTAAGTGAAGGTACATTTGATAAAAATAGAAGCTTCCTTCTCTGTGCCTGGGTGCTAATGAGCTTGGCAGGCATTCAGTCCTCACTTTGATATATTTGCTCTCCTTACCACACCTCTCTCTGGCACTCCTGGGGTCCCAGGGTGTTGAAGTACAGGTGGCTGGTACTTTAAAAAGGCTTTCATAGGTGAGAAAATGTAGTGATGTAATCATTTCTTTTTTAAGAAATAAGGAAAAGGATGAGTAGAAAAAGTAATGTTTTAAGAAAAGTGGAAGGTCAACTCTGAGTTCACTTACCTGCATACTTTGTATATAGTGGGTCGTTAGGAAAATCTCTGAAATCAAAGGCATCCAATTAGGAAAATAAAATGACAGACAACTGGGATGTATTCGCAAGTACAGGCTTCAGAGTCAAATTCCCTATAAATATTCCACTAGATAGTAACCGTGATTATCTCTCTGATTAAATTTTGATGCATCCTTTCTGCAAGTATTTACTGAGCCCAACTATGGGTCAGATGCTAAATTAGCATCTTGATTCTTTCACTTTTTAGCAATGTGGTTGAGCAGTTACATAACCTTGCTAAGCCTGTTCCCTCATTTGTAAAATGGGAATAATAAAACCATCTATTTCATTGGGTTGTTGAAAATTTTAAATTTGATTTTGTGTGCAGAGAGACTTTTGCAATGCCTGATACCTATGTTATTTTTAAATTATAACCATGATTTTCACTGCTAATGAGGCTCCAGGTGATTTACGTGGCCACTGGCACATTGAATTCATCAAAGCCTTTTACTCAAAACAATACTGAAGGCATATAGAAACAAGTCTTTGGGCACAGAAGAAGCTATTTCCTGTCCCATAGTTTGTCGCAGACCAGTGCCATGTGCCTGTCCTGTGTGCCGGAACTCAGGATATAAACCAGCTTTGACACAAAAGAGGCTGGTGGGGCAGTCAGGATATCAGGCTGCTTGCTGAATGAGGAGCGATGGGGCCTGACCTGTGTGGGAGGTAGAAAGTCCTTTTCACCTTAGACTTTGTCTCTCTTGCAAGAACTAAATAAACTACTCCCACCTGTGTATAAACCTTTAGCTTGTCAGCAAGATACTATCGTCCACATTCTCTGATGCTTTTTCCCTTAACAATCTTGCAGGACAAAGAGGATAGATCACAAAATGAGGTTTGATGATGCTTAATGCCAAACAGCCAGGTTGGAGACAGGCTTGAAACCAATGCCTGCTCTGAACTCAAGTACCTAGTTACTAGAATGTCCTGCTTCTCCTCAACTGACCACTTCACAGTTTGTGTGAATACCTGTGCTCTTCAGAGCATTTTCCTGGCCAGGAAAAAGCTTATTTTAACTTTAGCCAGATAAGAACACAGCTACAAAAAATAAAGCAAAAACCCTGAAAACAAATTTTTGGAGATTTTACAAATACATTGTAGAAGCAGAGAAATTTGAAAAGCATTGTTAATATTGTTATGTATCATCCATGATGCTGATCTTGGCTCTTGACTTGGGTAAGAGGGAGTTGATAATAGTTTTGTTTTATTCGTAGGCTTTTCAGGCATTACCAATGGATTCATTTATTGAATTAATGTGAAATCCTTATGGACAATGTTTGACACATAGTATAGCATCAACCAACTCATTAAGGTGTTAAATTAAAAACCAATAGTTCATGTTTATTGAGTGTTTAATAGCTAATGCATAATAAGGCATTTGGTAATCATACTGATCCCATGTGGTCCATTTGAGAGAAGGATCTTCTCTGTAACTCAGAGAGGGTACAGTGCCTATGTTTGCCTATGTGTATTTTTATGTAGCAAATTCTATAAGGAATTTACCTGTCTCTGAGTGATAGGACTTGGGGGAAATTTAAATGTAAACTTAACATGTGTTTTCTATAACTTTAATGTGTCTATGTACTCGATAGGAGGTAATTATGATATATGATATCTATTTAATTTAAAGTCCATCTGAGAATTTTAGCTTACTGCATTTAGATGAAAGTATGGGGCTTAACACTGTCTAGGCTTCTGAGGCTTAGCTCTGCCCACAAATTTTTAAATTGTTCACATTTGAAAATCTTCACAAACAACTTAAGTGTACATGTTATTAATGTCCAAACTGGACCCTGATTGCCAGGAGTATCTATTACATGACATGCTAACTTCAGAGTTCTTGTGAGAAAGATATTTTTGCACCCAGCTTACAGGTGGGAAGACTGAGACTGAGTGGTTGGTTAGCTTGTCCATGGCTGTAGAGACAGAATCCAGTATATCTATTAGCCAATCCTTTTCCTACTTCTATGTCCCTCTGAAATCTTAAAATAGTTTGAAGGGAGCAGAGGAGATGCCTGGGCAGAGATAAGAGTTCAAGTCACAACTGTGAAAGAGGGGGAATCCCCCTCCCCATTGACAATCCTAGAGTCTTGCGCATTTAGTTGAAGTGTGAGGTACCGTTCAGGGAAGCAATGGCAGCTGTGAAGGTAGAGTCGACACTGAGATTACCCAGGTAAAGTTGTGGGACCGCTGGGATGCTAGGGAGGAAAAGTTTTTAAGTCATATGCTGCAGACATTTGAGAAATTCCAAAGGAGTCACAGTTTTCATTAGCCTTGGTCTCAAATAATTGTGGTAGGGGCAAAATTTCTCATAGCCTTCCTGGCTGCTCTTCTGGCCTACCTGCCTGCTTTTGTTCTTCCTGCCTTTTCTTTCTTTCTTTCCTTCCTCCAACCCCTCCCTTTTCCTTCCACTCAATGATTGAGTGGGGTTTCCATCTTTTCTCTCAAAAGAGGAGGGGAAAAAAACCTCTTCGTAAATTTTTTTCATCTCAACAATGAAGTTTTAAAATTACTACCTATTTCAAACGGGACAGAAATCAAAGCAAAACAACGACACTTCAAAAAAAGAAAAATGTGAAAGCTTAATCCAAATTACTGGTGTCAATAAAGAATATACTTTTTTAGCAGGATATTTTCAGTTTACTTAATACCACAGAGGGGACATCATAGTTTTTTTTTTTAACTTAAGAGAAGGAAATGTTTATACTAGTCACAGCATGAAACTGACATGAAATCGTATTCAAAATGAACCAAGATAACTAATGCTGTTATAAAATTTACATTTCTCACATTCATTTCAGCGGAAAATATTATGTGCTAGAGCTCTTTTTGGTGTTATGGGCTGATTTCAGTAAATTAAAAAAAAACAGTAGCAATTAACATATATTCTCCAACTGTGCTAAGACATAGTTTAAAAGGCAACTGTAAAATCTATGATGATAACAACTGAGGCAGGATTAGGACTATTCTCTTGAACATTAAGCACCACACTTCGCTTTTAGTTGCTGAATCAGTGCACTTTTTCACTGAGAGGCCAAGTGCTCACTGTGGGAACCGTATGGTTAGCAAATCTCTTCTTATGTAACAAATTCTTGACTGATCCATGCTCTAGTTGATTTTTTTCTTTCCCAGTTTTGCTCTTTGGAACAGAAATAGGTAAGTTTTTCATTAATATACAAGGAGGCAAATATGAAGTGCAGCTGTTATAATCCTGAAGCTCTCGATTACACAGGGACAATTACTTATTATCAGGAATCTCTTTGACATTATTTGCCTTAAAGAAAAAAGACTTCTGAATAATAACTGGCTTTCCACTTTGGTGATGACCCAACAACCCTAACATATTTGATCTGTATTTTAGCAGTTTATCAATTACACTTTGCTTTCAACAAGGGACAGTTATGGCCTCAAACAATGTCCCCATACAAAGCATGTTTAAATGTTTCATTGTCAATGGGCCGAAGACTTTTTTTTCACTATGTGTCCCTCAGAATAAAGCTGGACACAGAGGGTCTACGTGGAAGAAGGCGGGTGGAGCTCACTGAAGGAGGCGATGAGCCGATATTAAGTCTCATCGTCTGCCAGCCCTGCGTGCCAGGCCTTACCCCCAGGATTCGTGCACATCAGCTTCCTCGGCAGCCCGGCCTCCAAAGCAACGTCTGTCAGAAACAAGATGTTGCTGGTTGAGCACCCAGTGCTCAATCTTTCAGTAACTCTCACTCTCCACTTTGCGTCCAACCTTGGTATTAAAGTGACCATCAAAAAGCTTAAGAATATCTCCCTCTGCAGAATGTCCGAAAAACAGTTTCAGTGCCTCTATGCTCCCCGAAGATTAGACATACCCCTTCATTCCAGCCGCTTTCCACTTTCCAACTGCAGGAACTACGTATGTAAAGAACTCTCCTTTTATCCGGGCGTGGTGGCGCACGCCTGTAATCCCAGCACTCGGGAGGTTGAGGCAGGAGGATCGCTGTGAGTTCAAGACCAGCCTGGGCTACATAGTGAGTTCCAGGTCAGTCTCAACTACACGGTGAGACCCTGTCTCAAAAAACCCCAAAGAAAAAAGAACTGTCCTTTTACGTATCCAGCTATAAACTCTGCCCTCCACGTATGGCCCTGCAGCTGTTTGAGCTCTGTGGTCTTTCGGTCCAGGGATGTCTGCCAATGCACGTTGTTGACCTCAGCCGGATCGTCTGCCGGAGGTCACCCACCCCATTCCCAGAGGCCTCGAGGATGGGAACAGCCCCATCCAGGTGGGCATCGTTTTCAGCCTGCTTCCTCAGTAGGCTGACATCTGCCGACACCCTCTCCTCCTCCCTCC